GGGGGTAGTGCACGGGACTAAGGTGGTGGCACAGGGGTGATTTGGTGATGGGAAACCTGTGGGGATTACAATCGAGATGGAAAAAAAATGTGCAAAATGATGTAAAAATAAACTTTGTAATAAATAAATTTTAAAAATTTAAAACAAAAACAAGAACAAACAAAAAAAAAAAGGTAAGGGCTTGCTGTCAGCCCAGCTATTAACGCCACGGTCTCATCCAGGAAACTGACTTTAAGAATAATGGGGAATTTCCGCTAACTCACACAGGGCATCTAGGAAGAACTCGTGGCTAGCCATCAGCCCCGTGATGAAAGACTGGACACTTCCCCATCAAGGTTAGGAAAGGAGAGAGAACCAGCACTCCTCAGTCACGAAAGGAAAGACAAACGACACAGCCACAAAGACGCTCCAACTCGTGCCGAGGAAAGCCGTTAGGCAAAGTATAAAGATCCTGTCCACTTACATAAAATTCTACAAAATGCACAGGGAGAGGTCAGAGAGCAGAGCGGGGCTCTGCCTGGGATAGCAATGGGGGACACAGCCATGGAGCTGGGTGCTGGACATGGCTGTCACCGTGCTGCGTGTATGCGCACGGCCTAGGTGTGCCCACGCAACTCAGAATGCACACGCCATGCGTGTGCTCTCTTGCACCTCGCCCGAGGTTCAGAGTGGGAAGTGGGTGGTGGAAGCACAGTGAGGTCAAGGTGGCTTTGCACTGGTAAGAGACTGGACGACAGAAGCATGGGACTTGTCATGCCCAGTCTCCCTCTGTGCCTGCTGGAATGTCTCCACTGTAACACGAAAAACAGAGAAAGGGCAAAGTCCAGTTGACAAACTGTCTCCAGGGCAAGGAGAGAGAAGTCTGTCAATCAGCAGCCAGGCCAGCCTGGGAGATGACCAGGCCAACAGGGTTTCAAATCAAGGGCTGGCCAAGCAGCTGCACACGTTCGCCCACAGAAATCAAAACAAACAGGATGTCCAAGTTATTTAAAACAGATGTCCTCATGAGCGAGCGTAAAGGAAAGTGTGGGGTATTTCTTTTCATGGGTGAGGTAGGAAGAAGGTCTTCTATTACATGATGATACCCAAATTTTATTTTTAATTTTTTTAAATGTTTTGACTTTTAAGTTTACTTTAAAATTCAACCTGTTAGCAGGGGAACTACTCCAACACCACCAGTGTCCAGCAGCACAGCAAAGAAGCCACACAAACCCCACCCGAGGCCACCTGCTAGCTAAAACCTTCTGAGCCTCCTACTGGTGCTCTGGAACTCATTCCGCTCCCCCACGCAAACACAGCAGGGAGCAGGCCCCAGTAGCAGTGATCTCCTGGAACCTGAAGCATCACCACCCCACTGAGCCACCCCCCCGACCCCAGACAGAACAGCCTGGCTGGAGAAGGTGGCCCCCAAATGAAACCACGAGAAGTCCCCTCGGAAAACATCCCAACATCTCTGCCCAGAGCAGAGACTGGTGGACACTGGCTGCTGAAGGGTGCGGCATGCGTGCTGTCTGTAAAAAGCAAAGCACTATTTCTGAATGAGAAAGTGAAAAAAACTTGGAGAACTTTGCTTTGACACTGGTCAAACAGCCAACAGAACCTCCAGGCAGGCGATTCCATTCCAGGAGCTCTCTACCCACACCCCCAGGTTGGGCACTGCACCTCGAAACCAGGCCTTCTGCCCAGCCAGCCAGACAGGGGCCTGGACTCCAGATTCCCTGTGAGAGAGCCCACTGAAAACTGGGATCTCCCCCCAAAAGCTAGGCCCGTGCACACCCAAGGCGCAGTGGCTCAGACTGCTTGGCTTCACAGAAGACCACACCAAGACTAGGTGGTCTAGACAGTGCACAGGGCCTTCCGGACCCCAGCTGGCCATCCCCCAAGGGCAGGTGCTTCTCCCTGCAGACCTGAACACCTGAGTCACAACAGCTACACAGAAGCTAGTCTCAACTCCTTCCTGCCCTAGCACCCTCCCCCCAGAAAACCCTGGGGCACCACTGGAAGTGCTGACCGTCCCACACTGCACTGGTCTGCCGGCGCCCTTGGCCCAGACTGACGCCCAGCGCGTCCGTCCACTCGCAAAGATGCCAGCCCACACCAAGGGAAGAGACTCGTTTATTCAGAGCCTCATTCCCGTGGCTCAGTAATCGGGCAGGCGGATCCAGCGAGGATGGAAAGCTCACCTCTCCTGGAAAATCAGAAGGTGTTAACAATCTTGAATGCAAACATTAAAATGTGCCAAACGGAAATCGCATTCAGGAGCAGGGACAAGAAGCCCAGAGCCAGGGAAGCTCAGGCGCAAGGAAAGGTCCATAGACCACCCCAGGGTAGCCACCCACCAGACCCTACCCCAATACCCCCCACCCCACAGAAACACATCTCCACTTTCTCAATGCCCACTCCCACAACCCCCAGGACTCACCCTTCCATAAGGACCAGCAGAGGTCCTGCCTGTAAGCCCCGCCCTGCCACCCCACTAACCCCACCCACACCCCCACCCTTTCACCTAAATGCAGCCCAGAAACACCTAGCCACCCAGAGGCCGCCCCCAGGCCCACCCCATAGGTGCTATGCTCACCGGATGGTCTCGATGATTTCGTGAGCAGCATCATGGTGTTTGTCCTGAAAGACAAAAAGGGCAGGGTTCAGAGCTGGCAGGTCAGCTGGCTTTCCAGGGACAGGGGACAGGGCCACCACGCCAAGGCTTGCCCTTCCAGGCACTTCATTTCTCCACTCATGGATGTATCCCCTCAGGGAGCTCAGGGGCCCTTCTGTGCATAGGATGCTGTCCCAGGGTCCCTGCCACAGGCAACATGCTGACCTTGGGAAGGGGCTGTCCCTGCCCTGCTCCCTCCTTAGCATGTGGCAGAGAAGGGACTTGGGCCTCTGCCCTCCCAATCAGTGCCAGGGGGTGCCGCAGGGACAACTCCTGAGGTTCCTGTTACCCACAGGCACAGGACTGATTTCAAGTGAATCTCTCAAGCTTCCATACCTCTGGCCTATACCCCAGTTCTGTATGAATAAGTAAATCATAAATGTTTAGGAACTAGGGTACAGGCCAGAAGTGCAAGGATATGAGAGGCTTCACCAGAGACAGAGTGGGAGCAGAACAGGCAGACAGACTAAGTACACTGGTGAGGGAGCAGCGGGGAGACAGGAGAGGTCTGCTGCACCCTGTGGGTCACTCCCTGCCCGGGGATTGAACTCGCACTGGAACGGCTGTGGCTGGCTTCACAGTGCTGCGCTTTAACCTGCTGCACCACCAGGGAGGCCCAAAGAATAAACATTTAAAAAAAAAAAAAAAAAAGACTATCCTTCTCTTGTATGCACACGACACTGAAATGCTTTCACACTAAGGGTCTGCTTCCTTTGCCTTTGTATGGCAGATGGCTGGACTCCCGTTAGAGCAGGCACCCCTTAACAGTTTGGGGTCCCTGAGTGCCCCTTGGTTATGTACTAACAGGACAAGACAAGGACTGGAATTTAACGTCCTGATTCTCTGACTCGGTCTCTTGGCACCCTGTGAAGGTTCTAAGATGGCTGGATGGTAGCCTGAGCTGGGGGTGGGTCCAGAGAATGGACAACAGAGCAGCAGTTCACCTCACTTCAAAAGGTCACAAATAAAATGCAGGAATTGGCACAATGAGAGAGGCAGTGCAGACAGCAAAGACAGACGTCCCAACTCCAGCACGACTGCCCCCTTGTGGATGGGACCCTGTGACATAGGACCCCAGCTCTGCCTGTGAGACATTACAGCTGCCTGACACTCAGGGTCCCGTGTGGACAGAACACAGGCCACCCCTCCAACACACTGGCTACGCGACAGGAACACCTGTTGCTTGTCTTGCCCCCCTTATACCTGCAGGTTCATCAGCACCTGAGCACCTAATGATCCAGACCACAGCCTGGGAGCCCACAAATTCCTCAGGGGATCTCCTGACATCTCAGCAAATTTTATTTTTTTATTTTTTTTATTTTTTTTATTTTTTTTTTTAGATTTATTTATTTATTCATACAGAACTGAGGTACAGGCCAGAGATGCGGAGGGTGAGAGGCTTCACCAGAGACAAAGTGGGGAGCAGAACAGGCGGATCGTCGAAGTACACTGCTGCATCTCAGCAAATTTACCGTTAAGAAAGGTGGTGCAGGGGGTAAAGACAGCCCTATCAAGCTATTGGCAGCCACTGAAGCACAAGTTCTATCCCAGCCGGGGAGTGACCCCCATGGCGCAGCAGACCGCTCCTGTCTCCCCGCTGCTACCCTCAGCAGTGAATCTCAGTAGAGCCACCTGTTCTGCTCCCCATTCTCTCTCTGGTGAATCCTCTCACCCCCACACCCCTTGGACCCCAGTTCCTGTATGCATAAATAAATCGTTAAAAAAAAAAAGAAAAGGTGGGGTAAGACAAGTGACAATGTCCCAGCAGCCACAGTATTTAGTGACCAAGCCAGAAAGCACAACTCCTGCCCTCTGGTGGCTGAAGTCCAGGAACCAGAAGCGATAAGCACCAATGCCACCCCCGCCCCAACCTCTGCAGCACTGTCCTCGTCAGGAGCTGGCTGGTCAACTCTGGCCTGTCTCTCTCAGTCCACCCACCGTCAGGGCACGGAGGGGGCTGAGGGCCGAGACCAGACCAGTGCTCGGGCGCATGACAGCACCCCGAGGACAGGGGGCAAGTCTGAGTGCAGACGGTGCTGACTTGCTCGCGTGGCCACGGTGCTCCAAAGCTCAAGCCCATTTTGCAGATGGAGCAGGAGCACAGGCTTGGGCGAAGAGCCATAGCCGCCAGGGGCCTGGGCCCTGAGGCAAGCCCAGGAGCACCACGCACTGCTGCCTCGTGAGGTGCGAGGCATGTGGGGGACACTCGGGGCCTCTGTCTGTGGCTACATGCCCACCACATGATAATCACTTCAAACTTTAGGGTTAGAAAAAAACAGTTAAGTCTGATTTCTTAAAGACTTTATACTTCAAAGACATCAGTGAGAAGATGAAATGGGGACTTCCCTGGTGACACGACAGGTTAAAGCGCAGCCACTGCAGCACCAGTTCGATTCCCAGTCCTGGAGGTGACCCCCAGGGCGCAGCAGACCTCTCCTGACCCACCCACTGCTCCCCTCAGCAGGGTACTTCGTCAGTCGGCCTGTTCTTCAACCCACTGTTCTGGTGAATCCTCTCACCGCCCTTGTACCTCTGGCCTGTACCCCAGTTCTGTGTGCATAAATAAGTGTTAAATAAAAAGTCACATGAGAAGAAAAAATGGAAAAGGGTTTGTATCAATTATATATGAAAAAACTCTAACTCAAAAGTAAAAGGAAAAAATAACTGTATTTGAATTGACCTTGGCACAAAGAAGATACTTGATGGCCAGTAGCAACATGAGAAGATGCCCATCTGAGGTGCAAAGGACACCCATCCAAACAGGAGGGTGGCAGGCATGGCCAGGGCGTGGCACACACAGCAGGCAGGATGTAAACATGGAGTCGTCACATGGCACGGCAATCCCACTCCTCCCACCTGCCCAAGAGGAGGAACACACGTCCACACAAAAGCCTGCACGTGCGCGTTCACACAGTGAACTCAGGATCGCCAAGAAGTGACCACAGCCCAAGGGTCCATTCACGTACTGGAGATTCATTAGGCCATGAAAAGGGGGGCAGCTCTGACACTCAGACGACGGGAAGGGACCCTGAGCACAGGCCACTCAGAGAACAAACCAGACACAGAAGGCCACGTGGAGTGAGTCTACGACGAGAAACATCCAGGACAGGCACAGCCAGAAAGTGGGTTCCTGGTGCCAGGGGCTGGGGAGAGGGTAGGAGTGACTGTACGAGCAGGGCTTCTTTTTCGGGTGAAGGGATAATCTGGGCTTTGAGATGATGGTTATACATGTGAGTGCACAAACCACACTTTAAGTGAGTAGTCCAGGGCCTCCCTGGGGGCGCAGGTGTTAAGTCTCAGCACTATGAAGTGATCTGCAGCCACTGCGGCAGGAGATCGATCCCCGGCCAGGGAGTGACCCACGCGGCCCAGCAGACCTCGCCTGCCTCACCTGTTGCTCCCCTCAGCAGCGGATTTCAGCAGATCCACCTGTTCTGCTCCCCACTCTGGCCCTTGCAAATCCTCTCACCGCCTCCTCTCACCACCCCCGCTCCTCTGGCCTGTACCTCAGCTCTTGTGTGCATAAATAAACAGAGCTTTAAAAATAAATAAATTAGTATAATGTGAGAAACTATACCTCAAAGGAGTTGTTAACAACAATGCCCACTAGAAAACACCACTTATCATTAAAGCCAGCCCTCAACTCGTCCCCGGCCCAAACAGGAAGACAGTGAGGTTACAAGTCCTGCACACAGCCGAGCGCGCCAGCGGAAGTGCTATGGCTCCCGCTGACCCCACAGCAGCAGAGGGGACACTGCTGTGTCACAGGTGTGCAGAAGAGGCTCCCCAACACATAAGCCGAGGACTGGTACTTACAGGACCTGAGGGGAGCAGGCAGGGGAAGCCTGCCTTCCTCACCCTAGGGAAGCCAGCTGCACCCCACGAACAGAGGTACAGAGGGGCTTCCAAGGGAGGGAGGGAGCTGCCACCACCTCCAGCCCAGTCAGGCCTCTGGAGGCAGCACCTTGTGAGACCCCCACCCGGACACCCCGCAAGTCTGCTCCAGGGTCACGACCACCACGACTGGGAGACAATCGGTGTGTGCGGCCGCCAGCTGCTGCCAATGCATGATCGTGAGGTGGCGAAAGCGCTGACCAACTGCGCGAGAGCACAGCCCAGTGAGAGGGACCGACAGCAACAGGAAGCCTTGAACTGACAAGAAAAGCCCCTCACCAGAGGTTTCTGGTTCAAGTTACCACCAGAGGGCCCAACGGGGCACACAGCTTGTGAGTGGCGGGCACACCCTGTGGACAACACGGAGCGCGCCTGTGGTCTGGAGACTGTCAAGGCGCTGCGGGCCGGGATGGCCCCACCCTCACAAAATGCAGTGCTGGTGACACACCCAGCCGGCCTGCGGCAGGGAGCCACCTAGGGCAGGCAGGCCGCAGGAGCCTGCCCCAGGCACAGCCTTGCTCCGGCACCCTAGGAACTCTGGCAGACCCAGGAGGCAAAGCTGTGGGACTTGCTCTCTGCCACGAGGGGGTGAACCGTGTTTCCTAAGCTTTAGAACCAGAATACAAGGGAAGAACTACAGTTGCAGCTCCTAAGATCTCAGAATGGCCCTCAGGGACTGGCCAGTTTCCATCACCATCCTGAGAGGAGTAACCTAAGACACTCGACACCATCAATGATGCAGAAGGCGCCCGGGCTCGGCCAGGCTGCATCCGCTGGACCGCAGCCTTTCGGTGCGGCTCTTGGGCTCGGAGGAGCGGCACTAGCTGGAGAGGCTGGGGTGAGAGCAGGCCCCAGGAAGCCTGGTTATGAGCAGCTCTGTCTCTTCACACCGGGACCCCTCAACTCCTCCTCCACTGGCCATACTGCCACCCACGAGGGACTCCTGTGTGCTCAGACTGGAGGAACCCGGTCTCTCCCCACTAATTGCATCCCAGCACCCACAGTGGCAGCTGATAGTCTCCACATGAAATCTGTTGGAGTGCTGAATTGGGAGGCTGCATGGGGAGGGGGT